GTCGCCCGAGCCACAGCCCTGCCGCCCGGCCGGGGCCTGCGCGGGAGGCACCGGAGATGCCGGGGGGTTAAAACCCGCCGGTTTAGGCGCCGCTGGGTACAGTCCCTGCGAACAGCCGGTCCGGGCTTCACCCGGCCGACTTCGGGCACGGCTGCCCACACCTGTCCTGCTTGGCGCCGTTTTGCGTTTTATTTCGAGGTTACTCCATAACCCAAGGAGAGTCGCATCAACGCAAAAACCCCAGCAACCCACGGTTATTGATTTCCCTTCCCTGAGCACACAGTACACCACAACCACTGTACATAAATCACACTAAACTGCAAGGGCTGTGTGCGTTCGCTTTGATCCTTCAATTATGCAAGAATTTGAAGAAAGAAACATTACCCATTGTTAAATTGATAGGACAAGAAAAGCTGGCAGAAGGTTATAGATGGCAGGACAGGGTACAGGAATGAGTCGTTTCTGGCTATCTGCCCTGCACACTTCCCTCCTGCACTTCTTGTGGGAAGGAGAAACAACTCGCAGTGTACGGTGCTATTTCTACCAAGCTTTTGTGAAAAGTAAGATTTTTTTTTTTTCATTGGGAGAAACAATTCCACCTCAGTTAACGGTTTCAGGAACAAGAACGAGGCTAGAAAAAGAGAAAATTTAAATAAAGAGCAACAGGAGAATAAATTAAAACTTGTGCAGCACTGCACCACCGGTGGGTGTGACAGCTCGGCTCCCTTCTCACCACAGGTCCACAGGGTGGACAAAGGAGCAGCCTCTGGGCCTCGGGGGCTGCGGGAGCGCAGCACTTTCTACAGTTTACAGATTGACTTTGGGATCAAGCTCGTCGTGCTCGGATGGGATTTCCAGTCTACAGATAAAGTGGTTTCAGCCCATTTCCTACCACACATCACAATAAGCATTGCTGGCACCTCTTTTTTGTTTCACTAAACCAAAATTGGCAACATTTGGCCATCCATTTTGAGACACCAGTGCTGGCTGCTTTGAGAAACACCAGTTCATTGCACACTGGCCCCCAACAAAGCTCAAGGCAGTGATGTATCTTCATCAGCATTGCATGCCAGCAAGTCCGGAGTACTCCTAAAGCTCCCATTTCCCATTTTGGAGTCCCAAGAGCCACCCAGTCTCCTATCATGTCCTCGCTGATCTGGCGTGGTGGCAAGCTCCATGCACAGCCAGATGTTTGTCACTCACGGCTGCCCACTGGATTTTGGGATTATTCTGTTCTTTATTATGGTTTCTAGGGACACTAATCTGAGGAAATGAGCTCTGGTGTTACCTTTCACAAAGCCACTGCCGAGTGCTGCTGCCTGGGAGAAAGGAACAGGTTTAGGAGCCCTGACTCCTACAGCACCTTCAAAGATTTGTAGTGCAGCACGGGGAGAAAGTGCAACGCTGAGCACCCTTCCTGCACCATCTCCTCTTTGCCCCCTCCTTTCCTTGCTCGTCTTCTATTTTTTCCTCTTTGTCTCTCTGCTGTTTTTTCACCACAAAGGAAAATGTGTGCAGAGAGGTCAGGCAGAGGAGAAATGGAATGAGTGGGAAGGAAACCTAAAGGAAGAGAAAGGGAAGCAGTAACAAACAGGGAGGGAGAGTGTGAGTCAATGGGGAGGTGGGAAGGGAGAGGAATATATGAATGAATGCACAGACAGAATGAGGACAAATGTAGAATCTGAGAGGGAAGAAATGAAACTGGGCGAGACTGCATTCATCAGGTTTTAATTTTGGCTCTGACAAGCATTCATTTCTTGCACAGAAGCAAAACCTTTCTCCTCGATACTGCAACCGTTCTTAGCACACAGTCATCTCCTACGTAAGGCTGGAAAATTTCTTTGAAGACAGTGTATTTAGTCTCTCAGCCTTATGTTCCACATTCATTCCTTTCCAGACGTCTGTGGCAGACGCTTCAGGAGCTCACACAATCCTGTTACTTGTTTGCTACAACATTATATAAAGTCCGTTTGAAGCAGATCCTGTTCTTGAATACTGAGAGAATTCCCATTTTATTCTCCCTGCCTCTATTTTATACACCTTTCTCCCCTCGACTTTTTATTCTATGCAACTGAAATCAGGTTTTTAAGAACGGATGGATTTTGCATAGCTCTTTGAAAGCAGACAGCTTTGGGGGTGGGTCCCATTCCTCCAAGGCATCTCATTTCTCATCTGCCTTTTAGCAATAACCCCTGGCTGAGCTATATCTATTTATCTCCTCAGACCATTACACTTTTTTTTGGAAGAAAAGACTGGCTGGTCTACAAATACTGTCAGACTTCAGTGGAAGAGTAGAGCAGAGAAACCTTTTCCACAGCTCCGCTTTTCTGAAGCATGAAACAAGCTGGACCTGCCTGAGACAGCATTTTGCCGAGTCACACTTCAGACTTCATGCTTCCTTCAGCCAATCTCTACTCCCATCACCTGGGCTGGGAATCAACATTTTTTAAAGCTCAAATTACTCCCAGATGTGATTCTGTTGTGCAATCATTCTGCGGTGAATTTAGTCCTAGGTATTTCAGTCTCAAAGCACACGATACTCTCTTGGTGTTTTTCTTACCTGAAAGAACTGTACTCTGCTTGTCTTAACAAGGAGTAGCATTGTCTGAGGCACAAATTACGTTTGTACTAAAGGATGACAGAGTCTCAGCGTATAATCAGAAAGTTTATTCTGTGACGGATTATCCCTGACAGTGTTTAGCAAAAAATGTCACATATAACAAATATGGGTCAACATTATGTAATGGGAAGTCTGCCAATGGCAGCACAACATTAGAGACAAGACTGTCATGCAAAAGCTTGCAAAGAATTTGCCACAACAGCAGCCTTTAGCACTTTCAACATTAAACAGAGTATTAACAATTTCTGCAGTTCAACAAGAGTGGGTCTGTTATTATTGCAACCTCACATAAGGAGAGAGAAGCAGCATTTTCTAGCACAATACATGTACCAGGAAACATGAGCTGTGACACACACCTCTTGCCTGGGTAGGTTCAACAGTGCCTTAGCCTGGCATGCACAGCCCCCCAGGTAGATCACCAAGATCTTGCTGCAGGGCTACCACTCTACAGCTGACAGACAGAGAGGCAGCCAGCCAGCCAGAGAGGTGTGTGGCTTCTTTCCTAAAAGCCACAACCTCATTCAAGCCACAAAAGCAAGAGGAAAAGGTGCTGCGTGCTCCTCTCCTCCCCACAAACAAACCCAGTTCTGTCCTGCCTGTGCTGCGCTCCATTTCGGGAAATCTGTTCCGCAGCAGCAGCAGAGTACAGCACAGACCTGTAAGGCAACCCCATTCTTCCTATTTGAAAACACTTTTGTATTTCACACTAGCAGGTTTTTATTTGCAAGTTATAAAAGAAACCTCCTTTCTCAGACTTCAGAAAGACTCGGAGTTCCAGCTCTTCCTTCCCACTTGGGAATAAAAAAGACTTGTGTTATTGCTCAGTGGACTGTGCAAGCAGAAGGCAGAAAGGCTACAGACATAGTTTTCAGGAAAGAAAAACAAGGGAGGAAATAAAGACATCCTTTTTTTCCCTGTTAATATATCACTTTTGAGGAGAAAAGCAAAATATTAAAGGACAGATAAACAGAAGGGTCAAAACCAGTATCCAGCATTTTGGGTCAGTCCTAAAGGAGCATTGACTAAGATTAGCAACTAACTCCTGAATTTTCATGGGAAAAAAATGCTTTGCGATTTCACAGTCATTCTTTATCATTAGTGGACATGTCAGTGTTTCAAGCATGCAAAGGCACATACTTGCAAAGGATTGTGTATGAGATATTCTTGAAATACCATAGGACTGAAGTAAAATCCACACAGTGGCGACAGAAAGACGGAAAAAAGGATTTAAGACCCTAAGTGAAAGCCACGACTATATACAGTTAATGTGCAATGCGACACAGCTTCCTTTTCTACACGGAGACAGACATTGATGTATGACAATTTAGAGCACTAGGCACAGTTATCTCACTGGGAACCTCTTTGTTTTTTCTCACATAGCAAAGCAAGAACCTCCTCAAATGCTCAAACAAGGAGGATGATGGCACAGGTCCCCCTTTTTTCTCTAAGAAAATCCAAAGCAGAGCAGCAGTGCTTAGGCTTAGCTCTGGAGCAAGTCTCTCCCTCTTTCTCCCACCCTCCGCAAACGTAACAACCACAGCCAGGCACCCTGACACTAAGTCCAGCAGTGAGGCTGCAGCTCTCTTGGAAAGGGGTCTGTCTGCTGTTTTCTGCTTTGATGTTGCTCGCAATGCTGGGAAGCCCTCACTATTTCTGGGAACTCTCCATTGAGAGGTATGCAGTAGTTCATACATCTCAAAATGTCTCTCCTTCCCTGTTAGGAAGACTTCATTTCAGCAATTGCATTCAGTTCATGCATTCAGGCTTTTCTTGCAAGG